CTAAGTTGACACTGATTCACGATTATTCTGTACTCACTGCAGCTTACTCAATTCCCACTTAACTTTTACCTCTCTCTCTCCCCTCTCTCTCTCTCTCTCCCCCTCTTTCCCCCCTCCCCCCGCCCCCCCTCTTTCCCCCCTCCCCCCGCCCCTCTCTCTTTGGATATTACTTTCTTTATTGAAGAGTGTATTTTATCTTACGGTTTTATAGCTTAGTGACAAAGAAAAAGGACCCAGCGAAATGATTTCACAGGCCAGTTTAGCTCAGAGCTTTAAGACCAAAAACAGGACCACAACTACTGTAGACAGGCGCATTATCCATCCGTACAGGTAGAAATGTAATGAAAACCTAAAACGTTTAATTTCGCGGGTCTAATTTGTAAAAAAATCGAAAATTTGAGATTCCTGGCGAATTTAAATCCATATATCAAATTCAAATCACAGCAAAAAATGATCAACATGTAATAAAAACATCACATACAGGATATGATTGACAAACACACAAATTATTAACTGGTCTCACTGGTAAGTTCTATTTTGAATCTTTTGTTGTCAAATGACGTAAATTTTTGAAGATTTCGCACATGGAGACGTGAATCTAGCTATCACCTTCATCTGATGCACACCAATTCTTTAGGATAACTTTCGTACACTCGTCAAAAGTTGTCACTTTGAAAACTAAAATGAAATTGAGAACGCTCCAGTCGCGAAATTTTATGTTTTTTGTTTTTGTTTTTGTTTTTTTCATATTTGCCTATTGCGATCGCGAAAATAAAACCCTCGGGATATACCGTCTCGCCATTTTCCCGAAAGTGGGTATCAATAAGGTACGCACATTGCTTGTGTGGTGGACATGCGTCTGGTTAGTTGAGAGAGTGGCGGGAATTTCTAGACCAATAGCAGACTGATGTAATCACAAAACTATAGTGGTACAATGTTGTATTACTTTCAACACTCAGTTGATCTAAAATGTCGGCATTGATTATAAAGCTACGTTCTGAATTCTCGGTATGTGACATCATCTTGACCTATCTTGTTCCCATTTGTCATAGACTTTGCTTAATTGACCTCGAACAAGTGCCAATAACCTTGTTACTCACCTGAAAGAATCCAACCAAAGGCCAAGACCTTAACCCTTAAATTAATTTTACTCTCTACATAATACGTAGTTTCCTTTTTAGCAGTAATTTTAGGATGTCTCCAACGCTCCGTGACATCCTAAGAATGGATGTGAAGCATACTGCATCAAACGGAATTCCTCAATTCGCGTGCTTTGCTATAGCGGTCAAAAGATAACTGTAGAAAAGCTGCATACCAACTTCAGGTGTATTCCTCTCCCCAAGTCATCGTTAAGAATGTCCCTTGTTAAAATTGTCAAACTGTGTGATCTTGGTTTGAACATCCTACCCAGACTAGAACAGAAAACGCCGCCATGGGTCCGTCTGGGGCCGGTAGATTACGTCGGCGACCCACTCAGCCAAAGTAAATCGGCTTGATTTAATGTGTTTTTCTTTTTGTTTATTTTCTGTTCGCGTTGGCAATTTTTGTATTGTACGTACAACCGAATAAGTTCATTTTCTACAAATGTGCAAATGTCATGAACTGCAGGGTTTGCGTGGTGGTGGAGGGTCACCTGTTACGATCGCGAAATGACTCATAATGGTGCGCGTGGGTACAGAATGAGTCACGAACATTAAACACGACAGTCATTTCCCTAATCGCCTTGAGAGACTTTTGTTTTGGTTGAAAATCGATATGACTTGTACTAGGGCCATAAAAATCCCAGGTCATTGGGTCAAGCGTCATTTGGGTGTCAATTACGTAATATATTTCCTCTGAGAGCCCACGATGATCTTTAAATAGCAAGCTTATAGCTAGCGCCACACATCTTTGTTGTTTATTAAAACCAATTGCACTGAGCGAGATGAAAACTGAAATTGAACCTTGGAAATGTCTTTCATCTTGAACTTGCATGAGTTTAAAGGTTTATTGCTTCGGAAATGGCTTGGAGCTGTTTAAGAATGCAGCCCGCCGTACGAGAGCGATAAATACACTCGTGGTCAGATAAGCGGATCCAAGCGCGCCTGTGATAACATATTCAGAAACGACGAAATCCAAGACATGAGTCGCGTATTCTTACTAACCCAATACACGCCCCACGCAACAGAAATGTCATCCGCTTGCAACGAAGAAGATTCCTCATCCACGCTGGCCGAGAACAACGACAGTGAATACTATGAAGTAGAAGTATTTAAATCGCAGGTTGTAACCGTGGCCTCGTGTGGTTTAAAAGAAGACTTGGGAACTGTAGAGAATATACGATATAAAAGCTGTGGTGATCCGACTGTTGTTGTGGAAGCTAACAATGGCGCGACAAGTTCACCCTTACCTGAGGAAACTAATGGCAAAAAACCTGTTGCTATTACCAGCAGTACAGAACATAAAACAAGGCGATTTAAACGGATTTCTCTTCCTCAGTGGCTTCTCAAGCCCAGCAGAAAATCTTCGCATAACTCATCTCGAATACGAAGAATAACAGGCACGAGTGGAAAACACAGAATTTTACGGATTAACTCGGCACCCAAAACTCTCGGTCCAAGCGGAAACGGTTTTGCCCATTATGGCGACGATGATAAATTCCACATTTTTCACAAGGGCTCATCGAAAGACAGAGGACATCAACACAGCTTATCGGAATTAAAACCCGTCAAAGAAACGCGAAAAATTAGAAGGATTTCACTGCCTGCTCATGTGTTGGAAGTGGGATCACCAGCTGTAGAAACTTCCACGCCTCGCACCCCAGAGCCAACTAGACGGAATATATTCGATGAATTAGACGAAAAATTTATTCATTCTTTGCGAATGGACGATCCACGAGTCGCAATTAAAACAAGTTCAAAACCAGGGGCCGCTGGCGAGGAAAAGGTTGAAAGTCCATCCCATGAAAACAACAAAGTGGCCTCCGTAGATCACGAAGGGAAATTGCCATCGCCTCGTGGAACGCGCGAGGGCTCCGCTCAATTTAAAAATGTGCGGAAAGAGAGTTCCGGATCAGTAATTTTTAAACCATCGCGCCCGGTACTTAAATTGCACAAGTTTCACAACCCGGACATATTTTACGTTCCTTTGCCAGAGGATGATTCGCAGAACTTGGACGCTTTGTCACAAAAATTGTGCCGCGCGCGGCTGATCAAGCCGAAGAACGAAAACTACATGATACAAGAATGCGTTCGGGAGGAATTACAAGCGTTTCTACACGACAAGCAGTTCTGTAGTCGATCTTGCCAACAATGGTGTCTGGAACTGAGCCAAAACATTAAAACCTGCGTTCACAAAATGAAGGATTGCGAAAGTAAGATCGCTTGTGTGGTTTACATTGGCGCGCTTCGTGAACACGGTATCCACGCGGCCACTCAGTGTATATGGGTACCAAATGAAGACAATTTTATAACAGTGAAATTCAAAAATAGTTCAATGATGGCTATAGCATCGGTTCTAGTGATCAAATATGAATAAATTCCTCTTTCAGCGATACCCAGTCGTTGACAAGACTGTCCGGCGCTTATTACTTAGCGTTAAGCTTCAAACAAGCGAAGTTCTAAATAAAGAAACCTGTTATTCCTATCATATGGTATTCGTGGGGTCCATTCAAATCAAATGATCGTTACCACAAACTCAAAAAGCCTTAATTAGAGTGCTAACGAGCTATTTAGAGTACAGTTAAGTTGAAATGTTGCAACATTTACAGATCACAAGATGTTAACCTAACACGGGTTTCTTTTTCAAATGTTTCAAGTGGTATTAGTTACCATAATTGTTTGACACGGATCGATTTCAAGACCTTTAACATTTCAGCAGACGACATTCTCAAATACTTTCTAACCTGTGTCGAGATAAAATCAGTTTTCCGGAGCTGAAAAAGGTATGTTTCTCAGGCGTGATTAGAGAAGTATTTTCCACTGATAAGAGACCAATGACCTTAACATTTTTTAGCATATCATATAAACTTTTGTTCCAAGGCCCTTGCAAATTGAAAATACGCAACCAGATTCGTTAACGCTGAATAATCCCACTCCGTGTTCCCCCTATCGCTTAACTGACTGGGCTGGCTATGAGTATGTAATCGTCCGATAAAATTACGAGAAACTGAATTTCGGCTTGGTTAAATGCTTCAGAAAAAATGAATACATCAATAAATAAACGAATGAATAAACAAAACATGGATAATCACCGCCTCTGTTTTTGTTATCTTTCAAATGAGGTATAACCCTTGTGCATCTCAATTACTCTTCCAATAATTTGGGCCGGTTATTTAAACAAAGTTTAGTCGTCGTGTAACAAAACCGCGTTCTAAGCCATCTTCAATTTAGCCGAACCTTTTATCTAAGAATCAATTTTTTGTGAACAGTGTCAACAGGCCGAAACCTTAAAGTAGACGGACATCTGTTTAAATGAAATCAACCCTCTTATGGAGAATCACCGAGGCCCACTTCTTGCGTATAACCGCGGTTTGGGTTCGATCTCGTTTAAATAAGCGGCCCTTTAAGTTTCGGAACGTTATCATTTTCTGATAAGGTTACTCTACAGCGCGTGGGAAGCTGGGTTGAAGAGAACTTCCCTGTGGCTGATGTTAAGGAGTGGGGCTGAACAGGAGTAGTTTTCCACTATGGTATGTTTTCTTCGACACGACTCAATTAGAGCAGTTAGCGAAATAAAGGCAAATGGTAACTACTTAGAGAGAATAATTTTAGGGACGTTAGGCAGTCAGGAAGGCAACACTAGGGAAGAGGTGGAAAAATTGAATGTTCATTTTAGGGAGAATTTTACGCATGGCTAGATGTGTTCACGGTCTCTTAAGGCTCCTCTCCTAGACTTCGGCATGCGCATAACGTGTGGGAGCAGGTATGAGTTCTTAGTGGGAATTTAACATCATTTTTTGGCTATTGTTCTGCCTATTAGATCTTAAGGCAAAGAAAGATATTAAGAATAAAAACCCTCACTCGAATTCCAAAGCACCTCCATATTGTTGGGTTATGCCCTATACAACTATGTTAAAGAATCTCCTAAATTAATTATTCACAATAAAGATGAATAAACATCAGAATCATTCTAGATCGCTTATCATAACGAAAGATATGAACAAAACCGTACAGTACCATTCTGAATTTGCTCGGTGTCCCTGCGGTAATTATAAGACCTGATATCAAACAATTATAGTCATATCACGATTTGTGATTTTCTCAATGATATCTTTCGGCGGTATCAAAATGGCAGGCTTTTTGCATATTTTCAAACTTCGATTAAACATATTGCAAAAATTATGAATCGCTATCTACGCGTTTTCAAGAGGCTTTGATTTCACGTTTTTGCACTAGAGTTGCTTTTTGTCTATAAAATACATGTCTATATAGCTCAATATATAAAACAAATTCTACTTTGAATCCCCTTTAATAAGAAAATATTAAACACTTGGAAAAATTTGCGTTTCCCCAGTGTACAACTAATGACCCGACTCGTGCACTCGGTGTATGATTTGTATCATGAAGCGCTTTTCGATTGAGAGTCGTAAAAACAAAACCAACGTAGTCACAACAGCTAATCAGAATTAAAGAAATGAACCAAAGAGGATCATGACTGCCAAACTGCCTAAAGCGCAGGAAAACGTGAGCGACCGAGTCGTGACTTGTCTTAGGGTTGCATTTGATTGGTCGAGAGGGTGATGCGAGGTTTTTTTGACAAATCACAGGGCGAAATAAGGCAAACAAAAACAATCCGAGATTACTTTCTACACTCAATTGAAAATTTGTTCTATCATAAATTAATTTTCAATTGAGTGTTCATGGTAATCCGGGATTGCATTGGCATAAATTCACTTCACTCTGTGATTGGTCAATAAAACTCCTTCAAACCAAACCGTCCTTCAAACAAATTAATGCAACCAGACTTTCCCCCTCTTTCCACGGTTTTAATTTTAGTTCTTAGTGGCCACTCGGAATATTTTTCATTGTAAAAATTGACAACAAATTTTACAACTCTCAATCAAACTATGCTCTTTTTATTTGTCTCAAACTTAAGTTCCTTTGACCACTGCTTTCATTCCACGTGCACAACGCATAATATTATAACAGTCTTTACCCCACATATATTTTGCAGACGGAGCTAAAGATTTGAATTTGAAGAAAATCTTTTCAATATGGAGCGTTTCTTGAGCGTAGTCGGGGCTACAGGTGCATCAGGAGTGTCTGAGTATGACATCATTACTTGAAGACGACCAACGGGCACTCCGTCTATGAGAAATAGAACTTCGAGTTAACAACACTTTCAGCGTACAGTGAGATGTCTGCACAATACATAACAAGAAACATCTGTTTGTGGTCATTTCCGTAGTGAAGGGTTCTCAGTTTGAGTTTTTCGGAAATTGCTGATTTTTAAGGAAGAATTTCTAAACACCGTTCCCAAGCTAAAAAGAACCTAACATGTTATTGGGTTATTCGTAATTTAGTTTTTTTTGAAATCCTACACAGGACGAAAGGTTGTTAAACTGAGAAATGTCCGTCCATCAACATGGTGGTTAAATAACGATTCTCAGCATGCTACGGCGATTGACAATAATCTTTCTCCACTTCTTGTGACAATAAAGCATCCGTCGATAATGGCATTCAGAATCACTCTTCACATTCTTTCCTTTACTTTCCGAGGAAAAGAGAGAACAAGAATGAAAAAGAGATCGAATTCAACTGATATTTGAGCCGCTACGAGATACCATGTCTGCAAATTTATCATTTTCGAGACAGCTTAACTCTAATAAATCCCTTAGTATTGAAGTGAGAACTTAGATATAGAATTACTGAAAGCTGCACGGAAACTTTAGACCAGTATTTAGACACATAAAGCTTATCAGTGTTATTTGTGTATCATTAAAAAAAAAACTGCTATGACTATCTGTACATCATAAATCCTAAAAGTCTTGTAGAGGGTCAAAACAGATGACTATCTTTACTCTTGTAATAATTATGATCGAAATTTTTCACAACAGGTTGGAGACTGAAGGTTCTCGGTTCCCTTTGGTATGCCATCGATGCCCCACACAAAGTTGAATCACATCCGCTCAAGCGCTTAAAAAACAACCAGGCCAAAAAAGTTAAGCCAATTACTCCAGTTATCTGCTTATTAGTAATACGCTTATCTTAATTTCCTTTTATTTCAATGATGACTTTATCCGGCGTGTGCCCCACGCGACGCGCGTGGCAATAACATACACACGCGCGAACATCCAGGCCAGTAATTCCAAACAGGCATTTGAGGTGAAGACATGTCGCCGGGTATTTATGGACAATATTGTATTTAACGAAAAGAACGCAATAACCATGGAGCTCGAGAGACGAGAGGGGGTGGGGAAGCGGGG